ATCGCTGGGGGTAGGGGTAGGGTTCGCATGTGGCCCCCTACAGTTGATGCCGCAGATGGTGCAACGCATGATGTCTGGGTTCTTCAGCTCATGTTGATGCGCCGTGCTGTTTTGGATGCGTCTCCATACGTGACACGACGGCGCTAGGTGCCACGCGCGTCCGTCTTGTTCCGGTAGCGCGTTTCACATTTGATGCAAGCGTTCGTATGCGCGACAAGGTAGAACATGCTCCTCCCAACGTGGCCCCCCCCGCGTGCTTTGAGTGACGCGCGCAGTTAGGGCTGATCGCCATTGGACGACCTCACCAGAACAGGCCCCATATCCCATGATGGTGTTGCACGAGAACGACGGAGCAGGATCTTCCTGCGTTTTCACCATAACCTCTGTAGGTTTCCAGACCGCTGCCGCGCAGGCCGCCCGCAGCGACCGCGGGTCGAAGGCAGGGAAGATGGCCTTCGCGCCCACGTCAAGCATCAGCTCGTGCACGTCGCCGCCCCGAGCTTCCGCGAGGCTCTCCGCCTCTGGGTGGCCGGCGACGAGTTGCAAATCGCGCTTGAACTGCGCGGCCCCACCGGGTGGATGCCAGGCTTGTCCTTTGCCTCGCCGGGCGCGCGAAGGCCGCGCCCGGCCCCCGATGCATCTGCCCGAAAAGCACCGACAGACAGCGCGCGTGGCCCCCGGGGTTCCTCCGGACACTCTGCGCTGCACAGTGCCGTTTTTAATACACGCTCCGCGTGCGGGTCATGTATGAAGAAATGCAGGGATTTAGTATTGAAAACAGAGATGAGTTCACGCATGCATTGATTCGTGAATTAATCCTATATGTTTAAAAATCCAATGTGTTTTAAAGTCCTATATGTTTACAACTCCTGTTTACATTTGTATCTTAAATCCTCTCTCTCTCTATATATATAAACCCACTGTACTAAAAACTGCCCTGTAGCCTCCGGCGCGAGCGGCTCCCGGCTGCCTGCGACGGCGCGCGTCCCGCGATGTCACAGTCCGACCACGGTCGTCTTCCGTGGCCGCCCCGCCCATCGGCGAGCGCACGAAACCACGCACGAAACCCCCCAAAAACAACACAGGGAATTGACGTCCGAGCGATGGCCAGGTCTCCCCCCTGCACATCGCGATGGCCCCCGACAGGCCGGCGCCCGACCGCCAACCTTTTGGTCCTCCCAGGTGCACGCGGGTGTCAGAGGCCTTTCGCCATCGGCCAGCCAAGATTTGCGCCTGGATCCTTGCCGCGAGCTCGTCCGCATGACTGTTCACCGCACTGAACCAGGCGCCGAGGTGCTTCAGTTCGCAGCCCGCCTGGCAGCCCGCCTCCATCAGCTCGCTGGCAGTCATTTTTTCGGGCTGCCTCGACCGCAGCGCTGGGGCCATGTCCTGCTGCTAGCGGTTCTGGGCGCGGCTCCTCGCCGCCAGCGCCTGGTCCGAAGTCATTCTTTTCGGAGGCATTCGCCACCGCCGCAGGTTTCACCCCCTCCTTCGGGGCCTTGGCATCGCTCGGACGTGTGCATTTTTCCTTCGGCGAGGGCCATCGAGGAGCATCTTTGATCATTTGGCGAAAAAAAACACGCACGGAACCAAAAAAAACACAGGGAATGGACGTCCGAGCGATGGCCAGGGGCGAGCACCATCTTGAAGATGTCGCCCATGCGCGCGCCCATGTTGGCGCCGACGGGCGGGGAGGGGTCGATCTCGATCGCTGCGCTGTCGCGGCGCAAGCGGCGCTCGAAGGTGTTTCGCGCTGATGGTAGTTATCTATGAGAACCTCTGGGTCGAAGTATCGCCCATGATGTTGCCGCTGCCACTGCGGATGGCCAGTCCGTCACCCGCCGCGTCGATGACCACCGCGAGGCGTTCGCAACGGGCGCGCGTGAGCAGGGTGGCGCGGGCGAGGCCGTCGTCCCTGGTCGATCTCGCCATCTTCCTCCAAGCGGTGCAGCGCGCGCCCCTCTAGTTTCGTCTTCGAGCCGCGCGCGAAGGCGTTCGTGGCGTCGGAGCTCTTGCGCCGCGTCGGCTGGCCCCCGTGGACGCCCTTCCACGCGACGAGCATTGCGCGTGTCGTCAGGTTCCGCGCCGCCCCCCCACGGCGCGCGAAGGCCCGCGGGGGTGGGCCGTGGCTACCCATGCGATGGAGCGGCCGTCGCGTGCGCGCCCTCCACCAGGGACGTACCGCGCGCAGCAAGCGCCGCCCCGCGGGCCCGGGCTTTGCGCTCTTCCTGTCGAGGGCGAGGCCGCGGGACGAGGGGGCTCGGGCGGGGGACGACCCCGCGCGCCCGAGGCGGACGGTCAGCCTGGGCAGCCCGAGGGCCGCCTCGTCGTGCTTCGCCAGGTGCGCCAGCTGGGCGTGCTTGCATCGTGGGCGGCAAAGAGGGGGGTGATGACTAGGAGGGGGTGGATATCATGGCGTGGGCCATGACATCTCCCCAGATTTCATGGCGCCTCTTCTCATTTCAATACGTCCCTGGCCCCCCCGCTGGGCCGCGCACATGTCGCCGGTCATGATTTGCACCCCCCCCTCTTGGACAACCCCCTCTTGGCCGCTCCCGATTGCAGGGGTCGGCCGCCTCTGGTGCAGCGGCCGGCGCGGCGGCAGGTCGGGCACCGGAGCAGGCAGGGAGCTGCCAGTGCTCGCTTGGCAGGGTGAGCCACGCCGGGTCGACGAGCACTTGGAACAGCTTCGCGGGCGCCCACCACATCGAGTGGGCTTGCGTCCAAGCTTGGACTTCCGACTGGCCTTGCATGTGCGCGCGAAGTCATGTTGGGCCTGCTTCCTTGTGGCGTCCTTGACCTCGCGAGCATCGGGGTGGAAATGGCCATCTATGTGCGCCAACTAGTCACATCGCCACTTGGAGATGTCCGCGCGCCACGGTGCTGCGACAGCTTCGCCTTCCAGACCCCCCTCCAGCGGGGCGAGCTCGAGACAGTCCTTCCACCCAGAATCGGCGGAGGAGCGCAACAGGTTGGCACGGTAGCTCCTATTCTTGATGCCGATGCCTGTGCTATCTAGCGCCCGCGACAGCCTGGGGATCGCCGCCGCGTCTCTCTGCCCCCAGGCCAGCGCCAGCTCACGCTCCGCGCACGCCTGCCTAGCTTCCTTCATTCTCCTGCGGTGCGCAGCCAGCGCCTCCGCGTACGCCTTGATGGCCGCGGTGAGCTTCGCATCCTCGCCCCAGCGATCCGAGGCGCTCGCCGCGTCCTGCGCGCAGATGTCCGACCTCGGCTGGAGCCGAGCCTTGCGGGGTTGCCACTTCCGATCGCCCGTGGCCGCGTGGGCAGGGTTGGCGCCACTCACGAGCGGGACGTCCCTCAGGCCAACGTCGCGGAGTGTCGTCATCAGCAGTGCCGCGTGGCCCGTGGCGACCTCCCTGTGCTCTCCAGGATATCGTAGCTTGGGTGGTGGGTGATGAGGGGGCCCAAGAGCTCCGACAATAACGGTACCCGCCCCTCGCCCGTCAGCGTGGTCTTGCTCAGCTCTGCACGGTCTCGCCTCTCCCTCTGCGGCAACATGCAGATCGGCGAGGCCATCTTCATCTTCAGCACGAGCAGGATGTGGTCCAGGACCCCCGACATAGAGCCGCCCACCTGCGCCGAGCGGCGCCGCGCAGCCGTCCAGCTCACCAGGGCCCTGGCACCCGAGGGGATGCAGGCGCAGTCGAGCTGCAAGCGCTGCCGCATGGGTATCACGTGCTGATCGCCACCACACGAGAGAGCTCGTGTCCGTCTCCGCCTCCGCCGCGCCGAAGTCACCGGCCATCTCTGTGTCCACACGCTGGCGAAGGCCCGCGTTCAAGTCTGTGCAGATGATGGGTCTGCCCCTCTTAGGTGTCCATGGGTAGGCGTCGCGGGCTCACGCCAGCAGTGATCCAGACGTGCCTCTGAAGGTACGCCCCGGGTCCTTCTTGCCCAGCTTCGGAGGGACGTGCAGCACCATTGTCGCAAGCATGACGGGCCCCGGCTGCAGGTAGGCCAGGTCGCCACCCACGGAGTTCTTGTGGCGGGCACACGATACGACGTATTCCTGATTGATCGTCACGGCGCAGCCGCAGGACTTCGGGATGAGGCGTCCACGCGTCCACCCGAACTGATTTGTGTGGTGAAGCGCCGACTTGGCCGCGTGGTGGACCTCGCCCTGCCAGGCCCTCACGCATGCACCTGGGAGACCAACGACGGCCACGGAGCGGAAGACCGAGCTCACCTCGTCGAGGCGGAACAGGCTGACGAGCGAGTGGGGGTTCCAGCACCCCACGAAGCACGACCGCTCCTGCACCATGGGCCCCTGGCCCACGAAGCCCAGCAACGCCTCCCGCAGCGCAGCGGCCAGCAGCATCAGGGGCACCATGCCCAGCCCGAGCGGCGGCGAGCAGGCCTGCCACCGCACAGGGTAGCGACGTTCCGCTGTCAGCGCGACGACGCCCCGTCTGCTCCCATCATTCCACTGCGCGGGCGGGCTACAGTCGGCCCGGATTAGTAGGTCGACCCTGCCAAATGAAGGGTACCCTTGTGTCCTGTGTCTCGCGACCCATGCTTCCTACATTTCTGTGGCAATGTGGCCCTCGGAAGGGTCTTGTGTCCTTTCGCGTGTCCCGTCCAATCGAGTCCGACTGTAGGCGCAGGTGGAGGAGGAGGAGGAGGAGGATGAGGAGGAGGATTGGACGAGGAGGAGGAGGAGGAGGACTGCAGGAGGAGGAGGACAGGAGGACAGGAGGAGGACTGGAGGAGGACTGGTGGAGGACTGGAGGAGGAGGAGCAGGAGGAGGAGGAGGAGGAGGAGGAGGAGGACTGGAGGACTGGAGGACTGGAGGACTGGAGGAGGAGGAGGAGGAGGAGGAGGAGGAGGAGGAGGAGGAAAAGGGTTGGACGAGGAGGAGGAGCAGGACTGCAGGAGGAGGACTGGAGGACTGGAGGGCTGGAGGACTGGAGGGGGTGGCAAGGCGGAGGCGGGCCGGGAGGGCGGGCCAGCTCGGCGGCCGCGGCGGGCGCCCTGCCAGGCGGAGCCCCCCGGAGGCGCAACCGCTCCCGCGGGCGGTGAGTGCCGTGAGGGGGGGGCTGCCCGGCAGTGCTGCGCCTGCATAATCTTGGTCGGTTGAAAATTATGTTTGTGAAATTTGAACAGTCGTTAGA